GGGGGGGAGGGGGGGGGGTCCTCCAAGGATAATCAGTATAAGTGTGTAAAAATAATAAGAAGCTCCCTATATCAACTCTTCTTAGATTTCACAGGTACTCCTTTGTACATCTGTACTTTATCCTTCAATGCGTCGCGCCTAGGACGAGCTATTTTATTATTAGGATCAAAAAGGAGGACCTCTTCAAATGCTCTTAGAGCGGATGTTAAGTCTTTGGTTTTCTCGTACGCATCGCCAAGGTTGTTCCATGCCGTGACATAACCTGGTTGAAGTTTTACAGCATTCTCAAACTGAGCAATTCCTTTGTCGATTTTCTCATCAAGTACATAACTGACACCAAGGGCATTGTAAACCTGTCAAGATGCGCAAAATATAAGGGAAGGGATCTGAATACAACACTCAGATGCCTGAAAAGACTTGGTATGCAACAGCAAATACAGCATAGGCAAGCAATAATTCTAAAATGGTCCAATAATTTGTTAGCTGAGAATTTGAGCAGTTTTTACATGGCTTTTGAACTTGTACATTTTATAGCGTAAGTTATGTGATTCAGGGTAAAAGAGATTCTTCACATTTTCAGCAGGATAAATGTGCATTCACATGTTTTGAGTTAAAACGGCAGTATATTTTAGGTCAATTCACATAGAATATTTACAATGTATCAGAAATTTATTGTGTGAAATAGCAATTGGCGTAGAGAAGGTCCTTTATCATTTATCTAAAATTAAAAAAAGAAAAAGAAACTGTTGAAGAGATAGTTCATACTTGGGCAAGATCCTGATCATCTCCATCCCACTTTTGTACTGCCTGAAGCAGGTACTTTGTAGCAGCTGGGTAGAATTTTCGCCTCAACATCACAGCTCCAAGTTCAAAAAGTTCTGTTGCACTGGCATCACCGCTTCTAACTTGCTCCTGTGTTAATGAGTCAAATAATACAGTGTGTTCAGAGAGAGAGAAAGAGAGTTGCATTCTCACATCTATGAGCAAACAAGCAAGTCGTTCTTGCAAGTGATATAGATGTCTACACGCATGATACCCAATTGTCGGTTAAAAGTAAGCTTTTGTTTGTGGGAAACAAATAGAATAATAACCTGTTTGGCCAAGCTTCTAAAATCAACTTATTTTGAGAATTGTTTTTTTTTCAAAAGTACTTTTGGTAAGAAGCAGTTTGTGTTTGACTAACTAATTTGAAAAGCACTTCTGAGTAGCAATTAGTGTTTGGCCAAGGTTTTAAAAAGTGCTTTTGGGGAGAAGCTGTTTTTTTCTGCTTCTCCAAAACTACTTCTGCTTCTCCTCAAAAGCACTTCTTTTTCTTCCAAAAGCTTGGCCAAACACTTCAACTTTGAAAAAAAGAAGACCTTTCTGGAAAAAATGTGCTTCTAGGTTTGGAGAACTCTGGGAGGCGGGATTTTGGGTACTGTAGGCGGATTACGGTAGAGGAGGTGGAAGGGCGATGCGTAAGATGTGCAGAGGCAGAGCAACGGGGCCAGACGGAATTCCGGTGGAATTCTGGAAGAGCGCGGGGTGGGCAGGTTTGGAGTGGCTCACTGGGTTGCTTAATGTTGTTTTTAAGACAAAGAAGATGCCCGAAGAATGGAGGTGGAGTACGATGGTTCCGCTTTACAAGAACAAGGGTGATATCCAAAATTGCAACAATTATAGGGTTATCAAGTTATTGAGTCACACTATGAAGATTTGGGAGAGGGTGGTGGAGGCCAGGGTGAGGAGGTGCGTGTCTATTTCCGAGAATCAGTTTGGATTCATGCCGGGGCGTTCGACTACGAAAGTGATTCATCTGGTAAAGAGATTAGTGGAGCAGTACACGGAGAGGAAGAAGGATTTGCATATGGTGTTTATTGACCTTGAGAAGGCATACGATAAAGTTCAGAGGGAGGTCCTGTGGAGGTGTTTGGAGGTTAGCGGCGTCCTGGTAGCGTACATTAGGGCGATTAAGGATATGTATGATGATGCTAAGACTCGGGTGAGGACTGTGGGTGGTGACTCAGAGCATTTCCCTGTGGTGATGGGGTTGCACCAGGGATCGGCTCTTAGCCCATTTTTATTTGCCTTGGCGATGGATGTACTGTCGCGTCACATCCAAGGGGAGGTGCCTTGATGCATGCTATTTGCCGATGATATAGTGTTGATTGACGAGACACGTAGCGGAGTTAACGCGAGGTTGGAGGTTTGGAGACAGACCTTGGAGTCTAAAGGTTTCAGACTAAGTAGAACCAAGACAGAATACTTGGAGTGCAAATTCAGTGAGACCATGATGCAGACGTAGAGGTTAAGCTTGATGGTCAAGTTATCCCCAAGAGAGCGAGTTTTAAGTATCTCGGATCTATTATCCAGGGTAACGGGGAGATTGAAGAAGATGTCACACATCGCATCGGAGCGGGATGGATGAAGTGGAGGCTCACTTCCGGTGTCCTATGTGATAGGAATGTGCCGTTAAGACTTAAGGGTAAGTTTTATCGAGTGGTGGTTCGACCCGCTATGCTGTATGGGGCTGAGTGTTGGCCAGTCAAGAACTCCCACGTGCAGAAGATGAGAGTAGCAGAGATGAGGATGTTGAGATGGATGTGTGGGTGTACCAGGCGAGATCGGATTAAGAATGAAGCTATCCGGGACAGAGTGGGAGTAGCCTCCGTGGAGGACAAGATGCGGGAGTCGCAGCTGAGATGGTTCGGACATGTTAGGAGAAGAAGCATTGATGCCCTTGTTAGGAGGTGTGATAGGTTGGCCATGGAGAGTTTGAGAAGGGGTCGAAGCAGGCCTAAGAAGTACTGGGGAGAAGTGATTAGGCAGGACATGGCGCTGCTTCAGCTCACTGAGGACATGATCCTTGATAGGAGGGTGTGGAGGTCGAGGATTAAGGTAGAAGGTTAGTAGGTAGTTTATAGTGTTTACCGATAGGCTTAGTAGCATGCATGTCCCTTCATATTCTTAGATTTTTATTACGATATGTGATTTTGTTCGCCTCAGGTATCGTATTCCCTGTTGCTATTATTTGATACTACTTATCATTTATCTCTCCCTTTTTTCTCTTCCATCTTTCTTCCTTCCTTGCTTTTCTCTTCTTGTTCTTGCCCTTCTGAGCCGAGGGTCTATTGGAAACATCCTCTCTACCTGCATTAGGTAGAGGTAAGGTCTGCGTACAGACTACCCTCCCCAGACCCCACATGTTGGGATCAAACTAGGTTTGTTGTTGTTGTTGTTGTAGGTTTGGAGAAGCTTGGCCAAACACGCTATAATTCATATTGATATCTAACAAGTCGAGATTGAATCACAATCAGTTCTCTTTTAAAGTATTATTCTCCTGCTCTGCCTTCAGGAGAATACAATGATGTTCAGATTCTCTAGCTACCGGTTCTATATATATATTTGCTTTTGCAGATCTAAACCATACAGATGCATATTATGTATGCTTCAATTGAATGGCGATGCATGTATAAACAAAGAGAAAAGTTATTGTGTCACGTACTTGCAATTCTTTGGCAGAAAGATCAAGCTCTCTGCGGACAAGGACTTGCCGAATCACAAAGAAGCTTCCAGCCCCAAGCAATGCTAGTAGTATAAGCAGGTAGGTAAGTTGGATTCCCAATTCAAATAACTCTCCGACCTCATAAACCATGTTTACTCTGACACTTTCACTTGCTGATGCCACTTGCCCGGATGTCAACCAGAAGATAGATCCGCATGAGAAAGCAGATAGAGAAAGAAACTGTCCTTTACTAGTAGTAATATCTCCACCATTCAGCAACTTCTCTGATGATTCTGCAACGGAAAGCCAATGATGGTACCTTTTAGTTCATGCAAAATCTCTGTGACAAAGCACTATTGTCTCATATTTATGGTACACAGCAAGTAGATTATGCAATCTTCCTCTGTTTCTGTATAAAGAACTGGAAACAAAACAGGAAATTACTGAAGTTTTGAACTTCTGTTGGGATGATTTAATTTATTTGTTCATGGAATAATAAGCTGATGAAGAGGGGTCTTAGACCAAGGGTAAATTTGTCCCGTCTGATCTATAGGTCACGGGTTTGAGCCGTCGAATCGGCCACTAATGCTTGCATCTGGGTAGGCTACCTATTTCAAATTCTTGGGGGTGCGACCTTCCGTGAACGCATGATGCTTCGTGCACCGGGATACCCTTTTTATAAAAGAACAAAATTGATGTTTCCTTGGAAGCCGAGGGTCTCCCGGAAACAGCCCCTCTACTCCTTCTAGGGTAGGGGTAAGGTCTGCGTACACTGTACCCTCCCCAGACCCCACTGGTGGGATTTTACTAGGTTGTTGTTGTTAGAAATTAAACTCAACAATATACACAGTAATGAATACATTTATAAGTCCAAAGTTTGGACTTGCGTAACAGGTCACAGAAGCTGATTTAAATTTTCTGTTTGCTTTCCATCCTGAGGATGAGGATGGAATTTCAGTCTTTTGATCAAGAACCAACAAATCAGTCAAAACACATCAGCGTAGTCAAATATGTAATCATATATTATGATATTGTTTCTGGAAAAAGTATCCTTCAAACTATATTATATACTTCCTGAAAAATACATACTTTTATGCTTATGTAAAAATGAAAATAAGAAAACAAAAGGATGAAACAAAAGAAAATAAAAAGAAATGGTGATTAGAAGCTATCACATTGTAAACCTACAAAAAACTAATATATACCTATATTAAAAAAAGAAAGATGTAACTGCTAAATCATTCTATCCTTTCAATAACTGCTATCTCATCACCTCTTGATCTTTCTCAAGCTTGGAGTTTATTATGTCTGCATACGTTTCTAATTGAAGATCATAACTTTTTTTTTGGCAAGTCTATGGGAACATGATAATTATTTCCTATCATTTGATAGACGGGCAAAACAATAAAAATATGTAAATATACCCGTTAAAGCGGAAAAAGAAAAGTATGCGTACGAAAATTCACATTTCTCAGCTCTTAACTATACCAATGTAGGGACCTAGAACTAGCACTTCAAAATGTAATAATCCCTCCTTCCCAATGTGTCATATTTTCATAATCAGCATGGGGGAAGGGGGTTATTAGCTATACAACGAGTATTTTACTTACAGATGACATCAACTAGTTATATTTCTTCTCTTTAGTTTGGCTTGAGTATTACATAATCAGTAAGAGAAGAAATATAACTAGTCGATGTCATCTATAAGTAGAATACTCGCTGTATATATAACGAAAAACATCCAATCAAAGTTAAAATGTGAATAGTTAAATAAATTTGAATCCTTGAAACTTGTAAAAGTCACATTGGATAATGTTATTAGTGGAATGATATCTAAAACTTTCTGATGTTCCAAATAGAAAATGACACATAAACTGTGACAAAAAGAAGCATTTCTAAGAATTAGAAAAAGAACTACCATCATCTTTCTCTGGAACCAAAAGTGAGAATGATTCTACTTTCCTTGCAAAAATCTGCAGCTGTACACAAGAGAGACAAGACTTAGGAATACCCAAAAGAGGTGAAAAAGATAGACAAATGTATCACCAAAACAATTTACTAATATGTATTTGAAGGAACTTAATTTGTGAGTCGCTCCGTGTATGAAAAAGAATCCTGTGACAGATTCATTGATCATATAAGAGCAACCAGAAATACTAGAGTAGATTGCAGGTATTAGAGATTGCAAAAGCAATAATGAGTTCAATCATGTGAGCTATGCTTCCTTTCCAAAATGAAAGTCTTGGACTCAAGAGCTCTTTCATTTTTTTTTCTTGTATTATAGCAAGCACACAAAGTCCATTAGCATTAGATAGTTAAAATTTTAAGTTGTATTCCCTCTGTTTAAAAATATATCTTACTTTCTGTTTTAGGTTATCTTAAAATAATGTCCACTACTTAAAAGGGAAATTATCTGTTTGCAGTTACCGATACTTTTTAATCATTCTCTAAACCAAACTGTACTATGAGACCAAATTTTCTTTTAAATAGTATACAAAATTCCACATGTGGGACTAAATTCGTTTAAATACAATAAAATCTCAACCTACAGCTTACTAGTTATGTTCAAGCCAATAACTTTTTTTAACAAGAAGCTCAATGGAATTTGTATTGTTAAAGTTCCCAAAGAAGAAAAGAAAGAAAATGTTTAAGCAGAATGACTCACAGCATACTAATTCAAACATAATCTTAAAGGGCTTTCAATAATAGCCAGCACTCTCTCAAATAATCAACAAAAACTATAGTAATAGGTTACTGAAACATCAAGAAAAAAATATAACAAGTAAAATTATATCAAGAAAACATAGTAGCAACCTCCCAACTGCCGCCCCCCCCCCACCCACCCACCCCACCACACACGACCAAAAAAACCCCAAACCCCAAATTACCTGAACTGAATTTCGCTTGATGGGTCTTCTTGGAAAGTGAAAAGAAGCTGATGGTGAGCCAAATCCGCCATGTAAAGCAAGATAACAGCCATGTTTGCCAATTTGAGATGGAACAAGTAGTGTTTTTTGGACAGGAGGTGAAATGGTGGACTGTATCATTAGCATTTCTTTTATTTTATCTGGTTTAAGGGTCTTTTTGTTAATCTATTTTCTGAGTGATACTTGGTATCAGAGAGTGAATTCGGAAGCATCAAGATTGAATTTTTTGGGGCATTTCATGAACCATTCTTGGTAAAAATTTCTCTGCTTTTGTTGTTTGAAGATAATAAAGTTTATCTCAACCAACTGTATCAGAACTAAACCGGACCGGCCGGTTCTTTTTCTCTTGTGACTTGGATGAGTCTTTTTGGGGAGAAATTCAAAAATAGCCAGATTTACCACTGGTTGTTGAAAAATAGCCAAGTTTCAAAAGTCATCGAAATTTAGCCACTTTAAATCTGAGCGAAAACACTGTTCAAAATCCGGAAAAATACGCCCGCAAATTTTACGGGAGTTCCAGCATAAGTATGCTTGAACTCCCGTAAATTTTACGGGAGTTCCAGGATAACTATGCTGGAACTCCCGCAAATTTTACGGGAGTTCAAGCATAATTATGCTGGAACTCCCGCAAATTTTACGGGAGTTCCAGCAAGTATAATTGTCCAGTATAATATACTGGAGTTTGGAGCACTGGTGCTCCAGTCTCCCGCAAATTTTACAAGAGTTAGCAAAGTATACCGGTCCAGCATAATATGCTGGAGTTCGTACACAAATGCACCAGAACTCCCGTATATTATACTGGACCGGTCCCTGTTGCAGCAAAATAGTGGCTATTTTTCATTGACTTGATAAACGCTGGCTATTTTTCATTGACCAGTGTGAAAACTGGCTATACCATGATATTTTAACGTCTTTTTGTGTTTATTTTCTTTTAGCTTTTTAGTTTTCAATAACTTACACTCTAAATAATTATTTACATTACGGGTGTGTTTGGTATGAAGCAAAATATTTTTCAATTTTTTCATGTTTAGTTGGTTTAAATATTTTGAAAAATATTTTTCTCATGAACTCATTTTCTCCATTTGGAGGAAATGTTAATTTCAAAACTCTTTTTCAACCATCTCCACCTTATTCCCCATCGTCACCCACCATCCTACTCCATCCCCCAAATCACCCCTACACACCCACCCCTACCCCTACATCCCCGCCCCACCCTAAATAGAAATATTATTAAGAGTATTTTAACAAAAATAAGTATATTCTTTTCATGACGTAGAAAAAGTAATTTTTTTTTTAATTTCAACAAAACGAGTACTTTGTTTTATGATGTAGAAAGAATATATTCTTTCATTTCAACAAACTAAGTATTTTCATTTCAATAACTTTGTATCTAGCATAATTGTGTGTGTGTGGGGGGG